CGCGATTTAAAGAATTTCAAGGAGAGATTTCCGAAGATACAAAATTCTGTCCTAATAACATACCTGTCCAGAGGACATCCAGAGGACATCCAGAGGATGTTTTACATCCTCTATACCATATAGAACATTCTCTGGATATCTTTTGGATGTTTTCTGAATGTCCTCTGGATGCTCTCTGGGCATATGTTGTTAGGATGAAGATTCAAGAATTTCCTGAATTTTTAAACGTCTCTCTCGGAGTTCTTCATCGAGAAGTTTTGAGGATCTCTAGGATATAAAGTCACGAAGATCTTATGTAGATCCGGGATATAGTCCATATACGTGTTCAGACGATGGTTGATCAAAATGGGAGGTGGGAGAAATCGGATCTGGATATAGTCGTTGATAGGAACGCGTTAACCGGTCGAAGTTCCGTTCGCCGCAAAGTTAATTTAGTCGATTCGTTTATAGCGGAGTCTAAAAAAATATCGTTAAGTCTCGTCGTAAGAAAAGTTCGCTCTCTCGGTTGTGTGCTTCGTATAGTATCAAAACCACTTTTTTTTAAGCCCTACGAGTTTCTACCGCGATAATGCACTCGCATGCCTCTTGTTTTTTTATTTGTTTTTTTTTCTTTTTTAAACAGTGCGCGCCTTCGTCCTTTTTCTCTAACGAATGTGTGTATTTCAGTTTATACTCATATATACGTATATATACTTTACTTTATCTCTGTATATATTTTTTTATGTATATATATATATATATATATATAGCTCCATTCGCGTCTCATATATTCTTATAATTTTATATTATTTTTCTTGAAGTACTTGCGGATCCCATTATCGCTCGCAATTTTTTTTATTAAACAAGAGTGCAACAGTATATCAACTAAAGAACTACTTACTGTACGACAGCGCGTAGGACGATTTTTCCAATGCGACGAGGATAGAAATTTCCGCGAATGTAGAACTTGTGGGTTTAAAATTACGAATTTTACATGTCGAAAATTACATGTCATTCATAATGTAAATTGCGACATGTTATCGAAATATCCATACGCCGGCTAATTATTGCGCGGTTGCATAGATGGAAGTGCTACGGTCGGCGCGTTAAGCCGCATATCGCGGCATAAACAAAATTCTATAAAACGAAAGTACCGACATTAATATACGTAAATAAATGCGATATATCGATCATATAGATATATATAGATCAATAAATAAACTCATTCTTGAATGGATTTCAAATCGGTTCTCTATATATATATATATATATAACCGTAATTATATATGTATGCTAATTTGTGCCTTGCCCTATGTCCGCCGTCGTAAAGTAATCGAGAGACTAGTAATTAATAATAACAACTTACACGATATTATATATTTTAGCCAAGTTAGAATATATGTATATGGGTTTTTCTCTTTGGGTATATATATATATGTATATGCTTTATATTTATATATAGACCTATTGCCCTAAACCTGTGAAGGAAGGAAACTTTCTCTAATCGTTAATAATAGTCCGTTTTGTTCCAAGATCGTGATTACTATCGATGATATAGTATCATCGTGCATGATGCGGAAATGGGAAAATATCATAGATATGTCGCGCAAACAATACGGGGGATTGTAACAGCGAAGTTTCACAGTGGATTATAATGCTCGATATCAAGAGTAAAGATTATAAATATATAGGCGCGTTTATATAATGTTGCGCATACGGTATATAATATTGAATTTTAATAGGGGAAAATGATGACGGCTCGTATAATATCCTGTATGCGTTTAAAAATGTCTGTGTTTACGTTCGGTGAGTGATGTTCGACGCTGATTATGAAGATGACACTCCAAGACCTCATGATTACTTTCGTGTTCCGTTCGATTTCGGAATTTGACAAGTCAACGTTTCGACGGACTCAAATCTGTAAAATTTCATAACTCGAAGCTGTAGACAGCGAAAAAAGGAATTTAGATTTTTGAGGAACTTCTAGTTCTGTTTTCACGGATATAAGAGATACACTGTTGGAAAATTTGTGTTTTCTTGTTAAAAAATATGTCGGTTAAAATTTTTGTGTTAAATATTTAACACATTTATGTGTTAATTTAACATATTGCTGTTACGTTAATTGGACTCAAATGTTAAATTATTAAAATAACTGAAAAAAATAAAATAAAAATAAACTAAAAATAATATAATGTGCACATATTTTTAATTTTACATAATACATATGTTTCGTATTATTAGTGACAGATTTATCTGTTAAAATTTATAGAAAGAAATGTTGATTTTATTTTAACCACAATAGGAGTGAGAGTGATTACAGACCGTCAATAACATTTTTCCAAGTTAATTTTATCATTAAAAACATGTTGATTTTCCACAAAATTTATTTCAAATTACTTTGAGGTTTGCATTTATTTTGTGTTGAAATATTAATAGTATTAGCGTCACCATTTAACATATCCATATTATGTTAAATTAACACAAAAATTTGTGTGGATCGTTTGGGACATGCGTATATATGTCAAATTTAAGCCAAATTTTCCAACAGTGTACTACCTATAGAATTTGCGTCTGGCTTCGGACAAGTAGACACATTTGTAAGAAACTAATTCTCGTACCTGAGGATCTCCGATTAATCGATAAACTGATGCAAATGAAGTGAATAGAACAAGAATGAGACGAATCAAGTTTCTAGCAAATGTATACAGTGAAGATAATGATGAGACGGTTTTAACAGCACAAGTATATAACAACAGTGCGCGTTACGCTGCGTCTTATGTGGGTTCTTCCAATGCTCTCAAAATGGAGAGAAAGAGAAAGAGAAAGAGAAAGAGAAAGAGAAAGAGAAAGGGAGAGAGTGAAGAGAGAGAGAGAGAGAGAGAGAGAGAGAGAGAGAGAGAAAGAGGGAGGGAGAGATAGAGAGAGTTAGAGAGAAAAAGAGGGCTCGTTAAAAACAAGGATTCCTTAATACATGATCGCTAGGTCACCCTATATAGATTAATAGATAATACTTTTTAACTTTAATTAGTTGTTGGTCATTTTACGTAACAGTTAGATGGCGACAGAGCCTGCTAGGTATATATTGGTATAAGATTTCCTTAAAGTGTGTCTCTCTGAGAGTTAAAACTCTACCGTTATTCATCGCCGTGTGTGACGATATAATTCGTAATAATCATAACAATAACAATCAGAAACGAATATATAATAGATAGTAATAACCGTAATGCTCATATAAATTCGCCCGAGACTGCGCTCGCGTGCGTTTAACTTCTTTTTTTTTTTGCTGTTTTTCGTCTCGTTTATTTTATCTTTTTTTTTTGCTGTTAATTAACTGCGTGTAAAGAGTTAAATCGATCACCGCTCTCCGGTCTTCGACATCTTCGAATTTTCTCCTTGTGTCCTCCATGTGAAGTATCGCGTCGTGATTGGCCCTTAAAATCGTTAATAATACGTGATCCGCATCGCGCCAGAAATTATTGATTATTTTTGATTCCGGTTAACGAACCAGAATTACCGCACGGAAAAAAAAAATTAGCTGTCGTAGCTAAAAACTGCGCGTGGTAACTAGATTTCAGTCGTAATATGGACAGCGAACATCTTAGCTGTGACACATATTTATTAGGTGCAACAGCGAACATCTTAGCTGTGATACCTATTTATTAGGTGCAACAGCAAACCGTTTTGCTGCAGTTTAGAAATTTATTTTGCAAACCATGATTAGCTATGGTAGTGAAAATTTTTTTTTCCGTGCGTGATTACGACATCAAAAGAAAGAAGGAACCGTTTATTTTTTTCACTGCTTTGCAGTGCACACTAAACTTAAGTTTCGAAAAGTCGGTAGTTTAAAATTAAGAGGTTGAAAATATTTCAAAGTGTCAAGATTTAAGATTATGAGAATGTAGAAACGAGTCTTACATGACATAAGAATCCAAAGTTTTAAGAATCGCGAATTCTATATGTTTTGAGAAAGTAGTTTTACAAGTTCCTAAGACGGATCAACATTTTGCTCTCTCATTCTGAACGGCAATTTCGCAAAATTGTTTAAAGTTACATTGATCTAAAGTTTGAGTCATTCAAATTTCTCATCATTTAAATCTAATATGATAAATATTTGAAGATTTTAACATCTCGGAATTTCTCTAAATAGATAAATATAAAGATGAACGAAGACTTGTATAAGATATTTCGTCAAGTCTGCGTTAAATTTTCAGTGTATAAGATGGATTTTAATCGATCTTTCCTTCTCTACAATTAGAAAGACTAAGATACAATTATGAAGTTTGTACAGAATATCTCAAATAAATAAAAAAATTCTAACAGTTCTAATTAATTTTAAGTATTAATTTTCAGGAATGCAAATTCTTAGCAAAATACCGATGTATAGTTAGCTCTATGTGTAAAACATTATTCCAGTTTGAATTTTAATTCGCAGCACGTAATCATTATAAATTTACTATATATTTAATTCTAAATATAACTACAGATAATTAAAAAATCCGATTAATCAATTTTTAGTTACTGAAATAAAATATAAAGTCAATTGCAAATTTGTTAATATACTTACACTGAAATTCAACGCAGAAAGAGAGAGAGAGAGAGAGAGAAACTTTGCAATATCTCAATATATATCCAACACGAAATCAATTTATCATCAATTTTCGTCATATTTGTGTGTGCACTCTATATATATGTAGTTCACGAGCAAACGTATGTTTTTTCTCGTTTATAGTTTATTTTTCCCCTTAATCATGATGTCATGTATAACTTCACTACGTCGAAGAGTTCGGTAATCATCTACGTACTCACGTTCCTTTTTTTCTATTACGTACTAACAATATTATCGAATTGGTGTCTATCACCTAAGAATCCGATATTGAGACTGTTTTAATTTTACGTTTTTATACTTGGCGTGGTCTTCCTGGCACCATAATGCACTTTTAAGAAATCTATATAAAAATATTGTAGAGTTGTCGTGTCCAGTGCGTTGAGTCGCGAGCGAAAGAGAAATGCTCTTTGAACAGGAAGAGAGTGGGAAACAAGAGGAGAGAAAAATGAAGAAGGAGGGAGGAAAATCGGAACGATCCAAGAAAAACTGATTCTTAGAAAAAAAGCAGAGTTGGATGTTACTCGACTGAAAACTTCATTCAGATAAAGAGACTGACTAAATGAAAGAGTTATCTTTATGTACACGAGATAATCTTCCTATTCGAATAGAAATTCATTCTGCGCGATTAAGTAGAAAATTTTCTAAACTCGAAGTATTGATCGATACGACAAAGCTTTGAGTGAATAGTGCTTCGTCTTTCAAATAAATTATTCGATGTTTTTTACGAACTATGTCAAATAGATAAAAAATAAACAGGAACATCGTAAAAGTAAGCGGATAGATGGTTAAAGTTTTCTTCGTAAAAAAAGAAGAATCTTTATGTGAATTCTCTCATTATATTAGTATGTGAAAAAATCTACTTGATCTGAGAATATAAAATATTAAAAGAGTAAAAATATTGCTCGCAATAAAACGCGTAATATTTTATATCAGCAGTATTTTTTTTTTTTTAATTTTTCGATAAGGAAATCACTTTTATCTCTGAGTGAATTTCCAATTTACTAAAAGATGCGAAGTGCCATCATCGAACAGTTTTACTTAACTCTTTTAGTTCTTAGTCGACTCTCTTATCTAGATGAAAAATCTGCCCAACTGGGAAAAAAGAGAGCAAGAGGGGAAAGAAAAAAAGAGGACGAGGTGAGATAGTATGAGAACGTTGTGAAAATTGTGTCTGTTTTGGTCCCGTTTCGCATTGCGATTAGCCGCGAAACTACGCTTTCGAAATGAAACGATGACGGACAAGACAAACCAGGTCCCAGCTTTTATCCGCGTTAGTGAGCTTTTTCCGCGTGAGCTTTTCCTCGTGAACGGTCGAGGATAAAGGCGGCACGACCGAACCTCATCCCTTTCACGAAATTAATTCGCAGCGGTTAATAAATGTTAACTAAATCTGAGAATCGGATGTTAATAAATAAAATATTAAAAATAGATACATACAAGTAAGTCTTAAACGAAATATGTGGAAGGAAAATTGGATCCGATTGGAATCAATTCACTCTCGTAAATGTTTCTCAAAAATTTTCAAACATCTCCGTCCTTGAAGGACTCAACTTGGTAAAATAAATTTAATTTCGCAAGTAGTAAGTTCGTTTCAATTCTTCTTATAATCTAACTAAAGAAACAGCAAACACGTTTTACCTCTAATTTACTACTGAAGGAACGAGGTTCGCTCGAGCTCGCCTCGTAGAGCCTCGATAGAATCTCGGTTGTCGTCGTGTGCGATTACGGTTTGCCTTTTAGCAAACCTAGTCACGCCGATGTCGAGATCTGAACATCTTCGGGACTAATAACGCGTCGGAAAGAATAAACGCGTGCAGCTGCGAAATACAGCAAAAATGTTATACCGTGTTCCGGAAAAAAAGCCGAATTACGTCCCTCGATAAATTCAGATTCTTCAGATCCGAAGATCGTCGTCTACGACCAATTGGATAGTTGTAAATTTGCATTCGGTTTTTTCCGGAACATCTCTGTATCTTTGGCGTATCAGACTTTTCTTAGTTCAGCATCTGAGTAATCTAAGATTTTTAGCTATCGATTTAATCGTTTTTTGTTTTTTTTTTATAAGAAAACACTGCAGAAAAATAAATAGATAAAAGTGATAATTATAGCTACATAGCACGTGTTTTCTTTAAATGATAAATTAATTTTTTATGTACAGGGTGAGTCATTAGAAATTGTCTTTTAAGATATCTTTATAAATATTGATTTTAGACAAAAAGGTTTAAATCTTTTGACAAAAGTTAAAATATTTTGAAAGGACATACATTTTTTGGTCGTCTTAGTTTTTTTTTAGGTGCAGGCGTCAACAATATTTGAAGATCATCTCAAGTTTTGTTAAATAGAAAGCCCTATTTTTAATCACCTATAATTGTAGAGGATAAAAAGACGAATCCAACGATCTATGACATCTTGAAGTCACACCGTGGAGTGACTTTGAAATGACCTTGAAAAGACTTGAGATGACCTTCAAAACTTCTTGACGCCTGCACCTAAAAAAACTAAGATAACAAAAAAAATGTAATTCTTTCAAAATAATTTAACTTTTGTCTTAAACCTTTTTATCTAAAATCAATATTTATGAAGATATCTTAGAAGGCAATTTCCAGTGACTCACTTTATATATGAGCGATCGTGAATTAATAATGCAGGGATATTTGAATGGCGATAATTGTAAGCATGAACGAAAAAGCCTGATGGACGCCTCCGAACGGAAAGTCGTTGGCAAATATATAATTACTTTCCCATTGTCTGGTCGATTCGTTTAAATTAAGCCTATCCCCTTCGCGTCGTGCCGCGCCAACCTCGCGCGGTCGCAGCTCCATTATAAAAAATCTTCACTCTCTTCCCAGCCCTCCCTCTTCCCTCCCTTTCCCTAATAGTGGAAACGTAGCCGCTTTTTTGTACCCGTGCGCCATAGAGAGTACAAGAGTATTACACCTAACAATATAATATCCTACGTAACCTACGGACGTTAAAGCGGATAAGATCACTTTGCATTCTCTCTCTATTTGTTATTTCCTGGACACCCGTCGGGTTTGCGCCGGCCCTTAAAGCGCGTTTTTACACACCGTCCGATGGGAAGAAAAATATCTTTTGCAACGTTGTTATGTGTCGATCCAACGCTGTCAATTTAACATTTCGCCAATGTGTAGGCCGGGAAGGACATACAATTGGCGAAAAAATAATAGAGAGGAGGAATGTGTGAAATATAATATAGCTAAGGGCAAATATCAGAGTATATATCTAACGTTAAATGTGATCCCGAGTCTTTTATATCTGAAAAAAGTGGCGAAAAAAACACACCCGTAACTTCTAATATATTTTACTTAAACGAGAAAGAATATTGGGGTTGCCAGTTATGCCCGAACGTATTAGAAATTGTAAGTTGTATGTATTTTTATAGCCGCTCTCGTTCAAAGAATGCATATACGATTGATGCGTTATATGTATATGAATCATTTTATACTTCACCTCGGGCATCGAGACCGGCCAGATCCTAGAGTTTGAGTGCTACGTATAACGTACAAATATAATAGTCCTTTTGTAGCATGCTTCCGCCAGGAAGGGAACCGTCCTATAAGGGACGGTTTACCTTAACCACGTGCGAAAGACTTTAAGAGCCAGCTTGGTTTACCTCCGGGGCTAGTCCTTGTCCGCACACGCTTCCTTTACACACACGTCATGCCTGTTCGCTTCTCTCTTCACAAGGTATACAGAGATACAAGGTCGAGAGTTTTCTGTATGTGTGTGTGTATGTCGATAATGTACATTTAATTATTAAGAAAACAGTTATTCAGGCACGCAAGTTGGGCAGGGGAGCAGCGCGCAGCTAGTGGAAGAAGCCGCGCGTACCTTAAGAGTTTCTCTCCTCCATCCGTCTATCTGAAATCGCTCGATCAATCCATAGAATGTTGTAATTTGCCAATTTTTTAGTTCCCTCGATCACGCTCGATTGTATCGTATTGTAAAAAAATCCGATTCCTCTTAATTGCGTATTCATGTCAAAATTGACTAGCTAAGAATTGTGTGAGGATTGGAAGGAATCGAGCAGATTGAGACGAAAGTGGGCGATCAAATAGATGTAGAAAGTAGATTCCTTTCGCGCTTAAATATTTCGGGAATTTGTTGAAGGCCAAAAGATGAAACGTATATAACACCATATAACGTATAGACAATCGTTATGTCCACATTTTCCCAATTCGAATCCCATTGCGATCGCTTATCATCTCGATTGCATTTCATCGAAAGTATAAATCCTTGAGGAGAGACCCGAAGGTGCGCGCGGGATGCAAGAAGGCCCATGTTTAGACGAGTTTCGCACGAAAAACAGACGGCCGTGTTTTAATTAATCTATTTCACCGCTCTCGCTTAGAACTGCGTCTCTTTGTGATCCACGCGGCGTCCAACGATTATATGTCTGCGTGAAAACAAATTATAAATTCAAAGAGTTGTTTTTTTCAATGGAAACACCGACGAATTCACGCGAATCCTCGCGATACGACAATTGGATACGGATACTGTCTTATTACATCAGACGCAAGTCAACGTAGAGATGAGGAGACATCGCTCTAGACGGGAATCCTTTCATATTTGTTTGTGCGAATCTTCGGCCGACCTATGTACGACCGTAGCGTACAATTTCATATACTTCGGCAGTACTATATGTCGACTATATAATATGTCGATGATCACCGATTAGTGTCGCGGCACGGCCGCGATCTGCGATTACGCGGAAACCGGCGTCTCGGGCCTTTTAGTACGAATGCTGCGGCTGCAGAGACGAGACTCAGCTATGCGCCGACGTGTCCGAGCCTTGGCTGTTGCCTAACCCGCCCATGCCGGCCTGAGAGGTGAGTCTGGTAGCCGACTGCGAGGTCGTGGTGGTCACCGTGGCAGAGTGACTGAGGCCGTGATGCCTGCCGGTCTCTGGCACCAGGTGCGGCGTCCGGCTGGAGACAGGTGGTAAGACCGGGCTGACCGGCCACGGATGCAGGGACATGGTGCTGGGCGCGCTAGGCACGCTGCGCGAGTGCGGCAGGAGGGGGGAGTTGGAGAGGCTGGCGAGAGGGTGGTGCGCGGCGACGGATGCACTGCCGCCGCCGGAAACGCCCAAGCTCGTACCCGACGAGATGGCTCCTCCACCTCCGCCGCCGGAAGCTGCGGCCATGGCTACCGCGGTATCCGGATGGAGGAAATTACGGCGCTGCTCCATCCGCTCCGCGTGCTGGGCCAGACAGCGGGTCAGCTCTTCCGGCAACAGCTCCAGCTGACCCTGCAGCGAGGTCAGCTTCTCTTCTAGGCCGACCAGACGGTCCTCCAGACCCACTAAACGCTCTTCTACCGCGTCCTGCCGCGTACTCATGTCCGAGACGATCTCGTAGACGGTGTTTTGCGTCTGTCAAAATATAGACCGGGCATTATATGTTAATGGTGATAATATTCTTGGGTGTATATCAATTGGACACAATGCTTATTGGCCAAGTGAAAATCAGGCCTTTTGATTGGTCAATCGTGCTGGTTACCCTAGGCATGGTCGATATGAATGGTTATGTCCAATCGCACTGTGTCCAAATGAATCTCTCCCAATATTCTTATCTGTTTACGACGAGAAAGAATGTTGCGTTTACGGAATACAACTATCGTGAATAAATGCCAGTGGAACGAGTATTATTAACCTTACAAAATTAAATCTTCTTGCGATAAAAAGCGAGAAGTAACTTGAATAAAAAAAATTCTTATATGCGGAAAAATTGCTCTATCTAAAAGAGCTTTTGAGAGCTAATCCTGTTCAATCCCTGTTTCATCTGCTCGCTGTTGCAATATTCCATCAGACTTTGGAAGCGGAAAAGCGGTTTCCCTCGTTAGCGCTGATGATCCTTACCTTGGCCATGTCCGTTATTGTGTTGGCGTTGTCCATCAATTTGCGCTGATCCATTTTCACCTTTCTGAGTCTGAAATGTCGATGTAGATGCGAGATAGAATTATGCGATTACGTGTACAGCCTACATTAGTGTAGAGTCTACTCTACACGGTATTTCTGTTATCACAACCGAGAGTGCGGAATATCGACTTACGCATATATAGCTAAGAGGAATTTCCGCTGATGGGTCCGCACGCGTCCAGGATTGACGCGCTTCACCAAACGAGTGTGCTTGTAGATCAGCCACGTTTCCCGCAACACGTTCGCCGCGGCGTTCTTCAACTGCAACAGAGCGAGCCATTCTTGTCAACCCATTCAGCGTCAGCTGACTCTTGTCAAAATCTCTCTCTCTCTCTCTCTCTCTCTCTCTCTCACTCTCTTCCTTTTGAAAGTTTAAAAAATTTTTCGGACGTTGGCGATGAAAAGATCGTATCTCCTATGAGGGATTATAGTTTCGCTTACATAAGATAGAATAATATGGTCAAGCGGCATTCATGAATTTTTAATTGAAAATAATCACGCGCTGCGAGATTATTCAAAATATATTCGCTAAGTAAATATTATACTGTGCCATTAATCGCGTAACTCGTTAGCTATGACAGTATTCACTATGTCACGGTTAATTAACCCTTTCAAGATCGCGGGGATAATTTGTCTCAAAGAGTGATTAACGATCCGTTGACAGAATATATATTTTCGGATTATAACATTACGTTTTCGCGCGCTTTATTCTCATTTAATGAGAAAACTTTCTGATAAAAAGTTTACGCAGATTTTTAAATTGTCAAAATTATAGTTCTCATATTTTTCCTCTCTCGGAAAAATTTATACTTGTTGCAAAATGTATACGACCGAGAAAAAAATGGGTTTCGAGTATTTGACATTTGTTTTGTTACCGCTAATGAAATCAGATCAATTCCGCTTATGCAATGACGCGAAAAAAGCGATATGCATCCGAGGGTTAAAGCGGCGTAAAAAGAGTCGTCGATACGGTTATGTATATAGTTCTACGTTACCACTCCTTGATATTTGCAAGGTTTATAAATAACGCTGGCTAATAATTATTTCAGTAGCCAGTGTAGTTGAAGGCTTCGATCCAGAGGTGGAGAGAAGCGATCGTACTTATACTCACTGCCAGACATATGACAAATTTAAATTGCATCAGAAGTGAAATCAACATCTTTAATTAAAGATGTCTTTTTGCAATATGTAGAGGAGAAATATCGATAATATTTCGAATATTTCGGGATCTTTGAAGAGCATGAGTGGAATAGAGAAGTTTGCGTTTTCACGAAAAAAAAAGGTTGCGAATCGCTGCATATTAACCCTTTATTCGTGACACAAGCGATCGATTATGTCATGATTTGCAACGAGTCACCGATGGTTTCTTTGTGGAAAAGAAAAGAACAGTGATAGAGAGTCCACTTTTCCGGACTCTATATTTTTAAATTCTAAATAACTAACATCTAAATTTCTCGAATCTAAAAGGACTCGCAATTTTCTTATTTCTCTTATACTCATTTTTATGTATTTGTGCCATTATATCTTTTAACTTTTAAATCTTAATGGCAAGGCATCCTTCAAACATAAGTTTGTACATTCTCAACTTTTTAATTCTCCGCTCAAGTTCCAACGTCCAAACCTGTTCCAGAAATTGAAATTTAAAATTAACGAAACGTGGCGACGAATTATGGCATCCATTCTGGTTACGAAACGTTCCAGAAATGTCAAAATTTTTTGCGCAATAATCGGAGAGTTATTCACAAGTTCAAGCAAGGTTTCTATTATCGATTTTACGATTTACTCGCCGAGAGTTGCCTTTTATTTCTTTGGAAAGTTTGTTAAGATTGAATCGATCGACGTCACATTTCTTTCATGATGACAATAGATACATTAACTGACTTCCTCGTCTCAAGTCTCGACCTATCATCTAGATAGACGATACGGTGATACTATCTACTCTGACAGGAGCGCTTTCTCTTATCCTCATATGGAAGTGTGTTTGCACTCAAGTCCTTAAACTTCAACAGACTATCGGATTCAGAATCTTTACACATTTGACATGATGCTTGGGCTTGTAAATCTGTATTACTATTAGAATAAATTTTTTATGATTTTTAGATTCTTTTATATTTGTATTTTTTTTTTAAATAAATTTATAAGAGAAATTTTTTCACGCGTATGATGTTTATGGCTTTTTCACTTACCTCGTTCTTTGATCCACTGTCTCGAATCTCAAGTATCGCAATGTCAAAGTTAAGAATTCAGATTGGAAGCCTGTTTTGCCTAAAGGTCAAAGCGACTTCGCCGACCGACTTTATGCAGTCTGCTTATTTCCGAGGCAATCTTATTCGCAGTGAGATACTTTCTTATTACGTGGTTCAACCGGAAAATTACGTCGCGCTATATACATGAAGAGTGATATCCATCATGCTCTCATTACGTGCTTAATTCGCTTCTTTGCGGGATACCGTCGACGAATGTATTCGTGTCTCGGAAAAACCCGCCTTACGATAACTTTCTCCGGTACTATCACTTTTTTTTTTTAAATAAACGTTGCACTTTTGAATCTTTCAGACGTATCATCGCAGTTCATAAATATTGTAACCAGAACGAAAAAATATCAAAAATCTACTCTTAAAATTGAAAAAAATCTAACTTCTGGATTTTCTTTCTTTTTTAAATTCTGCAAATTATAAACTTTAATTTCTCTGTCTTATTTTATTTAGCGTTAGAGAAAATTTAGCCTCCTATCTCCTTTTAAACCATAACTAATACCTTGATACACATGTAGAGAGCTTCACTTTAGAAACTTATTATTTGCTATGCATATCATTAAAAGTTGTTAGCCTTTTTAATTCAGAAAGTTGCGCAGACCAAACGTGCGATATATAATGTAATATCATGGTTGATTATTGCAACAATAGAGACACACTCGATATTTGTAAAATTTTCAGTTAAAAAAAAATTCTTTGCGTTATTTAACTGACAACTTAAACAAAATGAAATATTATTTTACATTATTTTATCATCATGTCATATAAATTCTATTTAAAAATTTTCTTATTTTTCAGGGATTATTTTTTATCAGATTTAACGATGATTAAAATATCATGTCATTTTAAAAGGAAATTTTTCACGAAAATGTCGGCAAACAAAAAACTTGAAACAAATATCTTGCTACTTAAGCCACTTGCAAGTTCAATGAATGTTTAAGCAAAAAAGTTTCAATTGCAAAGAAGTTGTAGCTCATAGTAAATGTCTATCTCTTGATTGTCGATCGATGTAAAAACGGTGAAGACCATATATTATATAAGCTATGATAAATTGGTATAGACTAGAGGCTCTACTGCTCTCTGTGTGAACCGAACATCTTCTCTACCGAAACCAAAAATATACCCTCCAATATGATTTATAATCCATGATATTCGATTAAAAAGGATTCCCGCTGTATTTTGCAAAGTTTTTTATTGCTTTAAAATTTACGTCACTAGACTGAAATAGCATCGCAAGAACGTTTTGCTCTACGACAGTATAAAAAATTCTTCTCTGTCATATTAAAACGCTACGTAAAGGTTATCATTAACGTAAAGGCCTTGTAATCCTATGGATAAGGAGCCAGTGGTCTTACCCTTTTTGTCAATTGCGTGTCCATCATGAAGTTATGCACGTGCTTTTCCGCCCGCGTAAGTTCGAGCTTCCTGGAGACGACTGCCACCAGTAAAGCGGTGCACCCAGCGCCCTAAAAATTTGAAAAAAAATATATATATTTTCTGCGAGCTTCTTCCAAATGAAATTTGTATATTTTAAAAACTTTTGCCCCTCCTTTCTAGCTTCTGAAATTTCTGATTTTCGAGAATTTATACAATCTTTAAATTTTAATTGTACATGTATAATTTCATGGACTAGTTTCAAGCTGATGTCAAGTTAGCGATAATATAAATATTTTTTGTAAAAAATTTATTTTCAACAGGACTGATTTTTGTCTCATAATTGCTATTAATTTTGCAATTTTTTTTTTAAGTACATCAGTTTTTTTATTAATTTTATTACTGGATTATCTGTTTCGTTAGAAAACATAATGTTTCCATCTGAGATTGCCGTTAAAAATTAACAGCCGGAATTCCAGACCGAGCAATTTCGCGCAATTTACGCGACGCAACAGCGCATTAATACACACGAGAGGGAAAGAAAGAGAGAGAAGGGATTATTAACTGAAAGGGGCTGATGGAAAGGGGAGGTGAGGACTTTGAAACGTATTGTGACTCGTGCTCGGGACTGGATTTCCGGTAGCAACCATCGCTGTTCGCGCAACGGAAGTTTACCAGGAATTGGCTGGCATCTCTGGAACCAGCCATGCGTTGATTACCAGCTCGGAGATAGTTACGAATTAACGGAGGAGTTACGGATTAACTCTTGCGGAAGTGCGAGTGAGATGCCGAACGGAAGGAAGGTGCGTGTAACAACGAGAAACAGCTTCCCGGCATTCCCGTGGGAACGGACATGGCGTTTATTGTGTCCTCCGTCGCCTTTAATTACACAAACGACGTGTAATCGTGTTAAACAAATAGCGGGACGGAAACAATGTGTAAATCAATTCACGAACGATTTGTCAACTACTATGGTACCGAATCTCGCGATCGATCGCTTGCTCGCTCGCTCGCTTATTACGGTCGTCCGATATTTTACTAAATAATTATTTATCTTCAAATATAAAAGTCTTTTCATATAAAAATTTTAAATAATGCATTTTAAAAATTATAATTCTTATTTCATACAACTAATAATTTATTTAATATAATAAAACATTTTTGGAAACAAAGTATATATTTATTTGAACAGATGAAAAGTTTTATATAATATTTTATATACAAATAGCATATATATACACTTACCTTTCGCACTGTCGCAACGTCCATGAGGCGATGATCCACAGGGAGACCATGAAGACCAGCAGCACCGTACCGGGGCAAATGGTCATCAGGGTCTTAAGGACGAACCTGGTGTTAAAGTTGATGCGATTCAAGGCCCCTATGCTACGCGACGACGCGTCCGTGAAAAGCTTCGAGTGAAGCAGCATCACACGACAAATGAGGTAGAGCCTGAGGAACATGGGCAACGAGAGGGTGACGTCGTATGGCACACACTTGGAGCCAATGTCGCCGTTCTTGTTTGCCAGCTTGGTCGTCCACAGGAAGTAGTATTCGCCCGGAATCGGATGAATCGCGCAGATCGCCAGCTCCACCGAGATCTGCGCGATCCGCTGCCAGGTCATTGCGATCCGCCAGTCATCCGCGCAGTTATCGATCATGAACAACTATCATCCAACACAGAAATTGACAGATCATACATACGCATATACATATGTACATATATTCTCATTAACCTAAGAGTGTCGTGTCCAATGCTGTTCAGCATCGATAGAGACTTGTGCTTATATCGCATGCGATTCTTCCAATAATATTCAGATAATATCACTTATTATTTATATACTATTATGTATTATAATAATTTTATTATGTAATTAAAAAATATGATAATACTATATATTATAACATAATTGTTTTTAAGTTTAATTAATTTCATTTTTTTTTAATTTTAGGAATATAATTTATTATTATTGCACACGATACATTCAGTTTTTTTATTAATTTTATTACTGGATTATCTGTTTCGTTAGAAAACATAATGTTTCCATCTGAGATTGCCGTTAAAAATTAACAGCCGGAATTCCAGACCGAGCAATTTCGCGCAATTTACGCGACGCAACAGCGCATTAATACACACGAGAGGGAAAGAAAGAGAGAGAAGGGATTATTAACTGAAAGGGGCTGATGGAAAGGGGAGGTGAGGACTTTGAAACGTATTGTGACTCGTGCTCGGGACTGGATTTCCGGTAGCAACCATCGCTGTTCGCGCAACGGAAGTTTACCAGGAATTGGCTGGCATCTCTGGAACCAGCCATGCGTTGATTACCAGCTCGGAGATAGTTACGAATTAACGGAGGAGTTACGGATTAACTCTTGCGGAAGTGCGAGTGAGATGCCGAACGGAAGGAAGGTGCGTGTAACAACGAGAAACAGCTTCCCGGCATTCCCGTGGGAACGGACATGGCGTTTATTGTGTCCTCCGTCGCCTTTAATTACACAAACGATGTGTAATCGTGTTAAACAAATAGCGGGACGGAAACAATGTGTAAATCAATTCACGAACGATTTGTCAACTACTATGGTACCGAATCTCGCGATCGATCGCTTGCTCGCTCGTTTGCTCGCTTGCTCGCTTGCTTGCTCGCTCGCTCGCTCGCTTATTACGGTCGTCCGACTCCTGTAATAAAGCCCCGGTCGGGCGTGGTGTTTAACGCGAGTTACATCGAGTTACATGCCTGCGGAGTTTCGCGGATCTGGACATACGAATGCAGTATATCGTGTCTCGTAGTTTGCGGTAACCTTGGTAAGGATTAAGGACCGTGGTGATTGGTGATGCCTGTAACCCGATGAGTTTGGTCGGAATGATTATTGTACATTCAGAAAGATTTAAATATTTTTTCGTCTCGTGAGAAGAAAAATACACTGTAAAAAAATTGACTGAAACTTCAGACACAAAGTACTTGCAGCTTTTTTGCAGACGCACTGTCTGAATTTTCAAACACACTTCAATTTTCAGATACAATTTAATTTTCAGATAAAAATGTGTCTGGATTTTTAGAAAATTTTTTACGGTGTAGTCTTATTAAAGAAATATAACAAATTATTTTTGTAAAATAATTTCTAAAAAATCTTCCTTTTTAAGAATACTTTCTCTCTCTCTCTCTCTCTCTCTCTCTCTCTCTCTCTCGCAAAATTTTATCATAAATATCTGCTTGGGTCACGTTATCGTGTATGATCATCCATTGTTGATGATCGACGACTGATCGTGAGCGACGCTGGGCGATTGGAAAAAATTTGCGAGACAGTGCTGGTTTACGTCCTGTCCTTACCATCATCCCGGTGGAGACGGCTATACCTCGACCGCAATATGTGTTGGGCACAATGTCGCCGAAGCCGACGCTCAGGAAAGTGATGGCGATGAGCCACATGGCGTTGAGGAGATTTGCGTGTTCCTCGTCGTGGAACCTGTCGTGGCAAAGTGACAAGCGCATTATTTCAACGACGGTGAATACAATATTTTGCTTTTATGAATCTTTAAAATCTTTTTGAAACACGTTCCAGGTCAGATAATTTCGTTTCTGAAATACTTGAGATTTAAATTTCTAAAAAAACATATAACTTAAAAATAATTTTAAATGACTTAAATGTGTGACTCAGAAACAAAAAAATTGCAATTAAAAAAAACTTCCTATGAAATAATCCCTTTTCATTTCTTCTACTAACAATAAGAATCTAGAAAACTATTGATACAATAAAAGAAAAATTTTTAAATTTAGATTAAAAAATTATTTTAAAACATCTCTATAGAGTTTAATCTTCTTAATATTATTTGAAAAAATATAATTTCTAAAAGTCAAATATGCTGTGGCCCTTTTTTAATAGCGACTCGATATATCCATCTTGCCCCGCAGCTAGCTTCAATCTTTTATCCGTGGGATAAGCATTAGAGCAACTACGGCAAGTTGGGGCATGAATGATAGCGTTATTATGCCCCCGTGAGATTCATTATCGAGCATGAGAAAGATGCGGGCGGTGTAATCTGCGTCGTAAAGTGGTTTTAACGACCGCGTTACACGGTTCGGTCGACGTTACACGGTTTCGTTTTCGTTCGCAACTTTTAGGGTCTCGTCGAGGATTCCAATCTTTGTCGATATCTGCGAGTCGACTCGGTCGACGAATCGAAATCATTCAAAATGGTACATCGATCGTTTTAAAAAATTCAGTGCTCTATAATACGCCCTGTTCTTTTTCCTCCTCCGGGAAAGATGAGAATATTACAAGCCAATAGAATATTAAAAGCCAATGTAAATTTCTGACAAGCTTTGAAATAACAACTGTAAATGTTTCATTATCCTAATAAGAGCCGATCGGCGAGAAAGAAAAATCGTCTGAGTAAAATTAAACCGCACGACAGACGGGACCTCCTTCCATTTTTCTTGTTCATCTTTCGTAAAATTGACCATTCGCGCTTGATGCGACGAACAATCCATTCCATGAAAGACTCATGGAATTGGATTATTCTCGTAGCAACATTGATTGCATGAGTGATTGTCGACCATGTACCGTGAAAATCGCGTTACTGCCGTGGAAATTTGCGCTGTCACGTAGTATATACGCGGACGCATACTGAATAAAATACCATTTGGATTTCGCGACAATTTCCGACCCCATAATCCGAGCGTGAAACTGGCCGCGGGGTCCGCGCGCTCGTTTACGGCGATGCGAGAGCAAAATTATCAAAATTGATCTTTTAATTTTCAATGCGGATGCAAATACACGACCGCAAATTAAATAATTTCATTTATCATTAGTTAGCTTATATTAACGAATAATGCGAGGTCATCACGTATCATCATAATTATATAAAATATTATATAAAAAATAATTGTATAAAATAAATTTGAAGGAAATTTTATACAATACCCATATACATTATATATATAGAATAAAAATAATATTTTAATTAAAATTGATCTAAAAAAAATTCAAGATAGAAATATCTTACATAATAAATAAAATAAATTGTAATAAAGAAATATAAACCAATGATAAAGATTTACGACAATATGATTTATTGTACAATTATGTAATAGACAGAATTGTGACATGTTTACATATCATCAACAATACTATGAGAGAAGTTTAAATAAATTTATTTAATGCAACCACTTGTTGGGAGAATTTTACCATAAACATCAATATTCCACACGCGTATATTATTTATTGAAAATAACGGGATCAGAAAAATATCCAAAAATTGTAACTTTTTTCGTAAATATCGTTTGCCAAACAGAATTTTTCACGCGGTATCGACGTCCGCGATATTCGCATATTCATTCAACATCAATGGAAACAGTGTCGGAAAGTTGAATGTTCCTATCATTATTGGGACTATTATCATAATCGACTATCGAAAAAGGTGGAACGCGATAAATCAAATGCAAAAGCACGAACGATTTCAATGATCGCTCCCTCAAGTGAAACAAATGAAACAGTCGAACGCGAGTTCGCGGAATCCCTCATGGCCGAAGACTTTCGCCGGATGCCGGACAGGCGGAGATCAACATTAGCCGAGTGATAAATATTTCAGTTAAGCGCGTGGGTGGGTGAAAGCCGTCCATTAAGGAAAGAAACGGGGAGATTTTATTGAGACGGCGGATAGAGGAAGAATCTTTTCCTCGCTTTTGCTTCTCGAAAGCACCTGACGGGATCTCCTTGGAAGCAGCCATCAGCTTCGATATTGCCCGGGCAAAGATTGATTATTCCTGAAATCGCGGCGCGGCTATTTACGGGGAGAATTTAATTATCAGCCGGTCTCTATAGGAATCACTAAATTCCAACGGCGATCGTCAACGACCGACCCAAATATCCGAGATCGCGACCCCTTGTTCCTTCCCTCTTCTCCCGCAAGGATACCGAGATTTATGATTACATCGCGGGGATCTCGCGACGGATAGACGCGCCATTAGGTCATAGATCAATCATCGCAAGCAAATGAGTCGCGTCCATTCGACTGTACACGATTCCAAAATGCATTGTCAGTGTTTCTCCTCCCGTTTATTAATGGATCGTGTGAATAATATGGGACAAGTACTGTTACTTTACTAACAGAGCGAATGTAAAAGAGAAATAAAACACTACTCTAAAAGCTTGGATATCGGAGAACAAATCGAGAAACTAGATAAAAAAAGAAAACAGAGAACGAAGAAAAAAGTATTGATTATTTTAATAATGTCGATAGCTGGTAAAGCTATTGAATCTAAACTTGGAAAAATCTCGATTTTTTGATTTAAAAAGATTATTTATTTAAGTACTTGCAAAGAAATTAATTATTTCAATCGAGCAGTAAATATATTTGAATCAGTAAAATATAAAATAAAAGCAAAGTATGCTTTCATTTACAAATAAAAAAAAAAATTTGTTTTTTAATCTTTATTATACTAAATTACTTCCTTAAAAACAATATTTTTTAATTTTTGACTGCTTGTTTCAAAAACACAGGTTTTCTTTATTTTACTAAATAATTATTTATCTTCAAATATAAAAGTCTTTTCATATAAAAATTTTAAATAATGCATTTTAAAAATTATAATTCTTATTTCATACAACTAATAATTTATTTAATATAATAAAACATTTTTGGAAACAAAGTATATATTTATTTAAG